ATATGACTCTTATACATCGGAAGGCAAAGATACTAATTGGGACTATCTCAATGAACGAAATATGTCCTAAATAGTGAATCCATGGACAATGGATCGATGGAAGAAGTAACCTAATGATGTTAGATTACAGAGACCTTCTTCTCATAACCATCATGTCCAAAAAGGTTCCTGGTCATAAGGATTGTCGGAGGGATACTGACAATCCATAGACTGGTACATACTATGTCCGCTTCAATTGGAAGGATGGAAAGTCTCATCCCATTCGTGTAGCGACACTAAGACAAGCATGTAGGTGCTCATTAAGGGAATGAGTTCACTGAACACAATCGAACGAGAGTACTTGCATGGAGGTCTACTCACATGTCAAGCAAGTAACTCTAATGGTTGGAATAATGTAAGTAATCCTTTGACCTGAGGCATCTCGTTGTCTTGTGGTTAAGTACTTAATCTTTGATTATGTTAAAGTCATTCCATTCGAGAGTGTCCAAGGCATCGTTGGGGTTAAGCCACTTAGCCATGAAGGCAAGTGAATGCGCAACAAGGAATCTCTAATCTTCGATAAGAGAGGATGAATACTCTAAGATATGATTCGGGAATCTTCGGCCGAAGTATCGAGCGTAATAAAGGAAAGCGTTCCTATACGTCTCAAATGAATCATATAAGAAGGAATAATCACATTAGGGGTTTGACATTATAAATCCATACCCTAGTAATGTGATTGAGAGTATTGTTTTAGAGAAGGATCGAATTACATTGTAATTCCAACTGAATAGGTTCTCCGAATAACTTCTACATTAGCTTGGGTAGCCATGATATATGATTAGATGTCACTCATGGCTTGTGAGTTCTTCTAGATGATTAAATGTAGTCATTAAAAGGAAGGTGAATTAAAAGTAAGTTTTAAATCACTAAGTGATTGGATAATCAATTGGATTGATGCCAATCACCTCACTGCCTTGCTAATTAGAACCTAAAAGATTGTTCACCGATACACTCTTGTAGTGAGTAACTAATGGATGAAGGAAATAATTAATTGGATTAATTAAGTGTTTTGATTAATTTAGAAAGTCTAAAGAAATCATAAAAGCGATAAAGATCGTTTTGGGCTTAAAGAAACGTTCGGGTTTAATTGGGCCCATTGGGCCAAAACCCATTGGGCTTTTATTCAAGCATTGGATGACTTGAAATAATTAAAAGCCCAAAGCCCAAACCAAACATCAAAGGCCGGCCAAAGAGAAGGGATAGAGTGGGTCAATTGTTGACTTGTTTCTTTAAGTAATAAAAGGAACATAATAATGAAAGAGTGTGTGAGTGTGTTAGGTAATTCATAACATACACAAAAGAAAACAAAATCATTCTCTCTCAAACTTCAAAGGCCGGCCACCAAAGGGAATTCTAGCTAATCATCTTATCACATTTTGGTTAATTCCTTCATCTTTCTCATTACAAAGTGGGTGAGGATCTTTAGAGGTTTTCATATCTTTGGAAACTTGAAGAGGACCTAGGAGCACTCATTCTCAACAAAGTGGAGGAGGCAAGGAGGGAGGCTAGGCTCAAGGAGTTCAAGGAGCAAAGAGCTTGGAGGTGGTCAATCCTTGGTCTTAGATCTAGATCAAGAGGTACAAAACTACTCCTAAACTTTGTTCTTCAATAAATTGTTTTTGATGCATCTTATATAAACCTATGCATCTTGAAGGGGATTTGCATGACTATAGCTTTGATAAAATGTATGACATGCTTCCGTTGCTTTCGTATATAAATTTTGAATTGTATATGCATGCTAGTCACTAGAAATCCCACATAAATCTCATATTTTCCCTTCACTTAGAAGGTTACATATGGACATTTGTAATACCGTGAAATACATCCACATGATATGACACAAGGTTAGAAACAAGTTCGTATAAATAGAGAATTATATACGAAGGGTTATGAGTCGCCCACATCATATCTCCATAAGTAAATCCCTCAAATATACATGGAAGCGAATTGCTCTGTATAAATTCTAAGGGAAAATGTGTCATGAAGTGTAGAAAATCCCTTAAGGATTCAAATTGCTTGAAAAAAGCCCCGGAAGGGTAAAACATACAATATGTACTCAATACCAATGGATGATATAAATTGCCTTAGTGAGTACTTTCAATTATGGTATTGTTGCAACATACTAAAATCTCTTGCAAGAGTTGATGATATTAAATGGGGACTCCTGAAGAGTCAAGAAAGATTATAAAGTGTTGAGAGAAATATTGTTTCGAACTGCAGAAACGAACAATATGCCAACACGAATCTTATCCATGATGTTTATGATATTAAAGAATCATATGGATTAAAGATTATGAGTTGAATACTCAAATGATTTAGACACTAAGAATGATCATTTATCTTCGCGAGGGTAAAGATAAATTGATACTTGGTCCAGAAGTACCACATCTTAGTGAAATATATGGTTTATTGTATTTAACACAATACACTGAATGAAATAAAGCTTATATATTAATATCTCCGAGAAATTACATACACATGAGTTAAAACAAATAAACAGAAGGGAACCTTCACAAAGGTTGCTCATGTGAAGCCTCAGTACTCGGAAGTACCCCAGAAAGGGGAGACATCAGAAGTTGATTATTTGGAGTCTCAATACTTTGTGGAACTCCAGACAGCTAAGACAATGGATGTCTTTGGAATAAAGACTCGAACCCCCGATTGTCATTTTGAGTCCAACCTTCGGATTCTAGTAGCTGGTCGAGCTTTCTTTTCATGCTCGTAGAGTAATTATTTGCAAGCATGTGTAACACTCTATTCTCATGCTTGAGCCCTCTAATCTCTTGTTTAAGACTTGCAACCTCAGCCATTAATGATTCAACTTGGTGAGTTCGAGCAAGTAGGCGCTGGCCCATATTGGATACAGAGCCCGCACATTGAACACTGAGAGCCAATGAGTCTTGAACGGCCGCCTCATCAGACCGATTTGAAAGGATTTTGTTGTCCTTTGGAGTGAGAAGATTCATGGCTACCACTGTAGCGGTTATGTTATTCTTCATCACAGAGTCCCCAACCGTAAGAGGACCATTAGAAGATAAGAAGGACGGGCGTCATATGTTATCTTGACGCTGCTCGTTTGTATCAATCTTGAGACTCAAATCTAAGCAAATGTTAGATGGGCAAGCCATTTTTAGAAATGATGAAGAAAGTCAGATAAAATCTCAGAAGTGCAAGAAGGGAAAATTTCTGCAGGCAACAATTTATGAGTGTTTTTGAACAAAATTGATATCTCTATAAAAGAAGGGGCAACATGACCACTTATTCAAAAATCGAAGAGACAACGATTTTCGAATTTCAAAAGTTGGATTTCCCTGCATGACGTCTGTCAACATTTCTTAGACGCAATCTCAGCTCTTGGATATCACGTGCAACTTTGTCAAAGATCTCTGATAAAGTTGAAAACGCATGAATCTTACTGTTCTAATTACACCACAGTTGCTGACAAGAGTAAAGGCACAACACTACTACCTGCTATTGGGAAATCCATATATATGTCAACCTCTGTCCTCCATCGCAAGGCAGAACTGAAAAATATCTAACTCTTCCTCATCTCCGAGAATGCATTTTTCACAAAGTATCTCGAAATACTCAGTTTTCTTCCTCTCCGAGAATACCTCTACAAACAAGTCACACCAGAGCAAGAGTATCTCATATCATCAGGGACGAGAGCAAGAATATCTCATATCATGTAATCTCTCTGTCATTTCCTTTGCCCTTGTTCTTACCTGCCAAGACAAGGACAAAGAAAGCAATATGTCGGAACCTCCACTCAAACTTTCGCTGCCACCAAGAAGTGATGGTCCATTCAAATGCAAGGTTTGCATTCCACTCTTGTATCAGAGGACAAATACTACAAGAGAAGATGCCAAACCTGCATAAGGAAAATACCACTTTTACAAGGGGAGCAAGTAAGGCAAGTGAAAATGATACATTGAAGCATGTGGAGACAACCACAACAAACACATGTCAGTTCATCCCTGACAAAACCTAAGATCACTTGTCACATGAAGCTCCTCATGGTCCAATTTCATTCAAGATCAAGCCTAGACGGCCTTTGAAGAAATCACAAGTCCGATTCAAGATCAAGTGTCCACCACCCTTGAATCAAATTCAGCTCCAGATAAAATAGGTAAATTCAGACCTTTGGAGGAAGTCTAGCAGAAGACCCTCTAACCCAGTTCAAGAACAAGCCTGTGGAAAGTTAACAACAAGTAAAACAGCTCATTCGGCAACTATCACCGCTAAGAGACTAAAGCAGCAGGATTAATGATCAGCCTAAAGAATTTGAAATCAGGGGGAGATATTCATCAAAGGGGAGCATCCAAAAATAAATCAAGATCTTAACGAGGCAACTCATGTTGATATTTGGGCATCCAAGGGGGAGTGCTAAAAATACTAGTGGGTAATGAATGCGCACAGTATTGAAGACCTTGCCATAACATTGAAAACATTACCACAGCATTGAAAACCTTGGCAGAATATTGATATGTGGAGATCATTTGTCAAAGGTGTGGTGTAATTATTCAAAAGGTAATAATACGGAGTTGCTCTATAAATAGAGCACTCCGACTACTATCAATACATACAGAGCACAGAGAGAAAGAGATGAGGGAAGATAAAGAGAGGAAGAGGAGAGGAGAGAATACATAGAGTTATCTTTGTTCTCCTATTATTCCAAATTATAATAAAAGCATCACTGCTGCCCGAGGACGTACTCTAGTCACACTGACTGTAGAGGAACCTCGTAAATTTTGTGTCTTGTTTTATTTATTCCACTGTACACACATCGTTGATTTTACAACATGTATAAGATTATGATGCGACTTATAGTTAAAGTAATTTTATATGATTTACCTTTTAAATTTTATTTTTTATGTTAAAATAAGTTTTAAGTTCAATTGGATAATAATTGTACGTCTGTTAAATTCTGAGTAGAAGTATTATATGTTGACGTGGTAATACTGGACTACCTAATAATTTCATCTGGTGGAGGTGAGAAACATCAAACTGTAGCTAAGAGATAAAAAGGGTAATGGCACGTGTACATTCATGACCGACACGGGGATTCCTCAACCACACCTGCTGCAATCTTACGTGGCAACTCATCTCCATGCATTGCACCGTCGCACTCCACGTGCCACTCCCTGCCCCCAAACCACCACCGCCCTCCACTCATAACCACCGCCAACTGTTAAACCATTCATTTCTTTGGCCTCCCTCCCATTAGGTTTTCAAACAAAATTTGAAAATTTATAGAAAAACAAGGACCGCTGAGCAATTTTAATATTCACCATCGTCAGTCGTCGCCATGGCCCCATTTGAAGTCTTTGACCTAGTTTCTCACCACCTTGACCCCAAAACCCTAGCCATATCCTCTTGTGTCTGCAAGTCATGGTTCGTTTCCATGTCCTCCGACCACCTATGGTGGCCCATTTGCACTTCCCATTTCCCTTCTCTTTCTATCCTTAAACTCACTAACCCTACCGTCTCCTACCGCCGCCTCTATGTCATCGGTCGAGCTGCCGCCAAACGCCGCCAGAAAACCCCCTCGAAACCTCGCCTTTCCCTTGATAGCCTCATCTTCACGATCAACATCTTCAACCCCAACTTATCAAGCAATGTCCTGTCTCTGGAAAAATCTGGAAGCGAACTCGTTATGGATCCCAGCGGGATTTTTAAGTTCGATATTGATGTTAGTGACTACAATGGATTTGAAGCGTGGGAGGATCGGGGAGCAGTGAGAGTGACATGGAATGTGGTGTTGGAAGGGTGGAGGGGTGTTTTTGAGATGATGGACTGTGAAGGGAAAGGGATGGAGGGGTGGTTTTCTGAGGAGCTTCCTTCGCCAGCGGGGTGCTGCTCGAGCGTGGTTACTAGTGGAATTGTGGCGGATTTGAAGTTGGGGTTTTGTGATGGGAGGAGGGTGAAGAAAGTGAGTGTTGGGATGTTGAGTATTGGAGATTGGAGATATGTGAGTATTGACGATGCTCTAAGATACTTGCAACATTTTCTTCTACCTTGTGTTGTATGAATCAATCTTAATCAACTAGCAAATTGATCTGCTCATGTATGTTTATATGCGCTGTTTTGTCTTGTTTTATTTTTCTTTTCTTTTTTTTATGAATTTTAGTTACATGATTAGTTTTTTTAGCGCAAAGGAACGGATAGTTTCTTTATTATTTTTAGAATTAATTAGTGGAATGTGAGTAGAAAATTATAATCTGATGTTTCAGAGAATTGTTCGTTAGGCACCGTATAATGTCATTAGTGGATTGTGTGTACTTATGGATTACTAAGTGCATTCTTAATTACGTGGAATTCTTCTTCTTCTTCTTCTTCTTTTTTTTTTTTTGTTACGTTGATATTACGATAGGGAGATTATTTTGTTGATATATCAAGTTATCAACATTGTACAAAAAGATTTCATTAGGCTCTATATGTTAATAAAGAGTAGGATATGAAGCTAGCTAGGATACGTGGGTGGGACATGAGGATAGCGTTTGAAAGTAAAATGCGTTTATGACGTGGAATATAAAACATGCGGATATGGTTTAAGTGAGTCGAATGAGCTAAAAATGAAGAGTATATGGACATTAACAGGAAATTTGATGGAAGAATCATAAGTATTATGTCCTTCTAGGAAACTAGATGGGTTGTTCATGAGGGAAAGGATCTTCAAGATTTAGGTTCTAAGTTCCGGTATTCAGACACAATTTTATATTGAGAAACAGTGTGGTATTATCACGGATAAGATTCTAACAAAAATGTAGATATTAAGAGGCTCGAGGATAGAGTTATAGTAATCAAGATTTTAACAGGATCAGAACTCATCAATGAGATTAGTGTTTATGCGCTTGAAGTTGGGGAGACTTTTTTCAAGATATCTTTCAGACGGAGATGCTACTTATAAGAGGAGATTTAAATGGACATGGCGCAATGAGACATGCAACTATAAAGATTTTTATGGTGGCCATAAGTTTGAGGAGAGATGAGAGGAAGAAGAAGCCATTTTGAATTATGATCTCTTTCTAGCTAATATCTTCTTTAAGAAGATTGAAGAGTATGTGATCACTTGGAAGAATGTATTGGCTTCCCTTTTACATGTTTTTTTCTCTTTTTAAAGAAGGTATTAGCTAAAATGAGATTGTATGTCGTCTTTAAATTCAAAATGGCTTTCTTCAACTCAAATCTAGGGCTATATAATCCTCTCTACTTGCATGCCTCTTTGCACGCATGGCTATATTCTCTATGAGTAGCTTTTCCTTCTCAAAAATTCTTTTGAACTAATTTTTCAAGATTTTTCTAAAATTTCTTCTTGAGACCTTACACAACTGAACTTGAATGCTTTCACGCTAGTTTTATTGATGAGTTCTTGTTCTATTATGATCTAGTTATTTCTGACCCTCTTAATATCTACAACATGTTTCGTTAAAGTCTTAGCCACAATGATGCCAGTAGTGTTTTCTCGATCTATTAGTGTCTGATATTCAAGCTTAAAACCTAATTTTTAAAATCCTGTCTTAAGACTAAACCACTTAGTTTGGTGGAGGTACGTAATATTGATCCTTCTTCTCATCATAATTTTCATTACTTCCATAGATTTTTCATTTAAGGTTCCTTTATTTCACGTTCATAAACATATTGTACTACGTTGAGCATTACACTCATATTATAAACGTTTTCAATAAGATTTTAAAAATGAATAAGATGCTAAGGGCATACAAAATTGTATGACATATAGTGGTATTGAGTTAATGAGTCATACAATGAAGATATTAACATACTTCAAGGTAAGATACACATGTCCTGACAATCATTTCATGTTCATGCTAGAACACACGATTATGGAGGCAATCTATATTACGAAGATCAATAAAACGGTATCAAGATATGCAAAAGATTTGCACAATCTTTACAGATTTGAAAAGAAAACGTAGGATATAGTTCAAAAGTGACTACTTGGAGGATTCTAGAGAAAAAAAGAGTACACATAGCATATATCCGAACAATAAAGGATATGCATGATAGAGGGAGAACTATAGCAAGAACTCATGAAGGGCAAAATGAATGTTTTCCATAACCGTAAAGTTACACCAAGGTTCAGGTTTAAGTCCTGATGTTTTTGCATTTGTAATGGATGAGTTAACAATGTATGTTTAAGATGATACTCTTGGTTTATAAATTTTGTAGATGATATAGTTTTGATAGATGAAAATGTAAGAGGGTTTAAATGAGATAGGACTGAAGATTGGAGATCAGGAGGAGGAGGGGTTAGTGGATGAAATTGAGGGAAGTTTGAAGAAAGTGAATTGGAAATGGGGGATGAGTTTAAGTGGGATTCGGATTAGTTTGAAGCCAAGTTGTTGGAGAAGGAAGAAAATGATTTGGGTTTGGATGGTTTTACACCGGCAGGGGTTGGGTACGGTAACATCAGAGAGGAGACTATAGAGAGGATGAAGAAGAAGAAGGTGCCCAAATCGGAAAAGAAGAGAATGGCAAGAGAGGCTCAGAAAGAGAAAGAAGAGGTTACAGTGTGTGCCCGATGTCATTCACTAAGAAACTATTGGCAGGTGAAGAACCAAGCAGCTGAAAACTTGATGCCTGATTTTGATATAGGTTGATTAAACCTGCTACGAGTGCCAATCCTGCTGTGGTTATGGTGGTTGATTACGTTGATTTTGATGGATCATTCCCTAAACGGGCTGCAAAGTCATTGTTTGCAGCATTAAAAGGAACTGAAAATGATCCCAAGCTTAGGAAAGACTGCCAAAGCTTGTTCTTGTGGCCACAAAGGTTGATCTCCTCCGGTCACAAGTTTCGCCTGCTAGGGGTCTGCCATCGTGCTAAGGCTGGAGGGGGACCCAAACTAAGTGGGGTGTATATGGTTAGTTCTCGTAAGGATTTGAATGTCAGGAATCTGTTGTCCTTCCTCAAAGAATTGGCTGGTCCTCGGGGGAATGTATGGGTTATCGGGGCTCAAAATGCAGGCAAGTCCACTCTCATAAATGCACTCGCAAAGAAAGAAGGAGTAAAGGTCACAAAGCTCACGAAAGCTCCAGTTCCTGGGACAACATTAGGAATATGGAGAGTCGGAGGAATCTTGTCAGCTAAGGCAGTGTTGTTTGACACTCCAGGACTTCTGCATCCATATTTGTAAGCACTTGCTTATTCGGGTTTCTTGTTTTAAGTTGCAGATATGAATGGTTTTTGGAGCCTCGTTTGATTTATGTTTGCTCAAATTATCTTAAAAGGTAAGTTGGTAGAACATGCTTATTTCTTGGCTCAAATTCCACACAGATGCTTTTTAATAATGCCGTAGATGTCAGGTTCTATCGTTTACTTGTACAAAAGATTCTAGCTTATAATTTCTGTTGGAGGTTATGAGTTCAATAATCTATTGAGATTCTACTTTGAAGTGGACAAGAAAGTCCTTGTAAACCCTCCATACATGTGTAATTTTTCGATGCATGAGAATGGACTAATGATCAAATCCAAGTGCTGCTGAATCCTGTGTTTGAAATCTGCAGGCAGGGCAAACCATACATGTTGGTGGTTTAGCGAGACTAGATCTTGTTCAAGCTTCTGTCGAAACAATTTATTTGACAGCTTGGGCTTCGCCTAATATTTCTTTACATATGGAGAAGATAGAAAATGCTGATGAGACATGGAAGACGCATGGTGGTCTTAGGTTGCAGGTAACTCTTTATCCCAGTTGGTTACATTTTTGTCATTATTTTGCATTTTATCGCATAGTTCAATTCGATTTGATTCTGGATACAAATTCTTAACGATATCATAGTCTTGATATCTGCAAGTGTTGTAAAATGATTCTTACTGAAATTTTATTTTATGTATGCATTTTGCATATGAACAATATTGAGTGCGATTCATCCTTTAAAATTTGGTCAGCAGTTATAGGATGGAACTAGTCTTTGTGTTCTTGCAAATGAAACAGCTCCTTACCTTTTACTGACTGGACTCCGCCTTACACTTTTGCAGCCTCCAATTGGCGCTGATCATGCTGCTGAGATGAGAAAACGGGAAGAGAGGGAAATCTAAGTGTCTGGAGCAAGTTGGGATGTGAATAGCATCGATATTGCAGTAGCTGGTGTAGGATGGTTTTCGTTAGGTCTCAAAGGGGAAGCAATCTTGGCATTGTGGACATATGCTTCAGAGACCGGGGTTTTGGCTACCGAAAGCAATATCTGAGGCAATTGGTAACCAGAGTAAAGTTAAAGCTCACAGGAAATAGCTTCAAATGGAGAGTGCAGATTCCCCTTCCGAGGTCTCCCTTTGAAGAGAAGGGAAGCGTGATTGTTCTACCTCATTTTCGACCGGCAACATGATTCACCTCGTTCTCCTTGCTCTGCAAGTCAGCTTGACTTTTCAGAGGGTTTAACGACAGCTTGCTCTGCAAGTCGGCTTGGCTTTTCAGACGGTTTTACGACAGCTCGTTGAGACTAGCATTGCGTTACGTGTTTAGCTTGCAGAATCAAATTCCGACTGAACTGCCCGTGGTGGATCACAGAAAGCTTCGGCTACAAAGCGTAATCTTAGAGCGAGACTGTTAACAATTGTGTTTCGATACACCTGAGGAACTAGAAAACTCTCCTTTTTACTTGGTTTTGTTGAAATTTTACACTTTTTTTTTACAACTTTCTTACCCCAAAGGGTATCTTTAGTAAACTGAACAAAAGCTGCATTAGAATACAGAAATTACAGAAACTACAAATTATTCCGTTTTGCCATCGGATAAACTACATTAGGGAAGCTAAGCTGCTTTCAAGGTTCAACGAGGCTGCTGGATGAAACGGGGGCTGCATTTCGGGCTCACATGCTTTGCTGGCTTCTCAGCATACCTCCTAGGCTCCACCGGGGACTTCGGACGTCTGTCCTCCAGTGACTTCAAATTCTTCAAGACCGCGGAGCCCTTCTCCAACCCTGCTGTTGTTCCAATACAAAATTTGAGTCCAACAATCGAACAGCATATTCGGAAACTGCATTAAAGTTCTTCATCCCAGTTTCCAACAGTCTACAATCTTTCAGAGTATCTGTTCTTACCATCTTTACCTTCGGTCTGAGACATCTGAAGGAACTCTTCAAACTGAGCTTCTAGGCCGGAGAACTCATCACCAACATCGAGATCAAAGGTCTCTGGAAGCAAATCGGCTACATTGTCAACTTCATTGCGGGTATCATCATAGAAGCCATCCTCACCCTGCTGACTGAGCCAGTAGTCGTGGTACCATGTGGAGGTTGTGACCAGTTGCCACCATTCAGGGGAGAAATCCTCCACCTGCCGGAGAGCCGCCGGGATAAAGAGAGGGGCGTTGGGATTCAATCTTGATCCTCCGGAAACCAGTGCCATCTTTGGCTAAGCGCAAGTCAACTACATCGGAAAAACAGAGTCAATCGGTTATGAAATCTTCTCGTTTTCAGGTTCCACACACGTAAATCAGAAAAGAACAAATGCAATAATCCATGGAAGACGTTTTATATGACGCAATTTCATCCAAATCTGACTAAATCAACTCATCAGCAGTTATAAACTATGATTTTCAATTGATCAATGAACTCGCAAACTTTCACATTTCAAAGTTCACATGACCAGGATTTAGGATCAACGAAAACCGTAAAAACCTAGTCGATTTGAATGAAGACAATTTGGCGGATTTGAAAAAGCTTGAATTGAAATAGAAAATATATTCTTTAGAAATAAATACGAAGCTTTTCTTAAAAATAAAAACCAAAAACAAAATCATGGCCATCAAAACAGCAGATTAAACACATAAATAAATAAATCAGATTTTCTAAATTTTCTATATTCTTTCTTTTCTTTTCTCGTTTTCCCAAATTTTCTCGACAACCAAACAGAACCAGATCTACCAATCAGAAATTAAAAACAAACCATACCCTCACAGCCAAATCATTCGCTCAATTTTACCTAATCACCTGAACCTTCTAATCTTAAATTTTTTTCCGACACTAGAACCTGAATTCAAAGAATCAAGATTGCAATTTGGTTTTTTTTTCCTCCATTTTCTCAGCAACCAAACAGATGTTTACAATTTTTTTTTTTTTAACAAATAATCAGATCCATTAATTAACGAAAATAAATTCAATAAATAGATAAAAAAATCGAAAGATTTTCAA